AAACTTATACCTTTGATCATTTGATGATTCAAAGAATAATAAATGTTGAAAGTGTTAAAAATAGTCTTTTAGAGACATAAAGTTAAATAAAAAATAGTAATATAATAATAAAAGTTAAAAATTAAAAAAAAAAAGTGAAAAAAAAATGCAAAAAATTCATGTCTCGTTCAGAGATTCGAACTCGGAACCCCATAATCGGACTGTCACGCGCTATCCATTAGACAATAGTACGACCTTATCCCAATTGAAAAATTAACTCTATTAAAGTTAAACAACAATTTTCAAAGTCGATTTTCTCGACTTAGGGGGGGCATTGGCAACAAATTCGAAATAAAGGTGATTAAATAGTCAATATAGAATAGATCTATATACATTTTATGAAAATCGGTGGGTACCACACCGTGACCTCCCCTTGTAAATCTAACTATATGAAATTATTAACTGAATAAATAAATTAATATATATTTTTTTTAAAATAAAATTTAAAAATGGAACGAATTTGAATAAATATTTAACGTAGATTTTTATAGTTCTTTTAGTTTTTATAATAAGCTCCGATAATTGTTCTGAATTTTCTCAGAAACCAAAAATCTTCTGTAAGATTCATATTTGCATAATTTGAAAATCAGACTAAGAGATAATTATTCAACACCTCAAAATTTTAGTTTTAAATATACAGTACATTTAAAACAGAGTATATTATATACTCAATATGTGGAGCATTTTATGAGACTACAAATTTTTTTTATTGGGGCCATATTTCTTATTGAAATATATTCAAGAAATTTTATAATTATTAGCTCATTAGGAAAATGATTCATTATAGTTTTTAAGTAACACTTAATAAGAACAAATAGATAAACTAATATATTTTCCATATATTGATTTTTTATTTATAATGTAATAATTTTCATAATAATAAACAAAATAATATATTAAACTATAAATTAATATATTTAGTACTACACAATACATTTTTTTCATAATAGTTGATACTGTGATAAATTTAAATAAATTCTACAAGATCCATTCAAAATCTATCCAAAAGTTACCATATTATATTTACAATATTTCAAGTTTTTTAGATATAAAGAATTTACATACAAATATTTTATGAGTTAATTTGGAAACGTTGGTAACTTTTGGACGGGCACAAATATGATAGATCAAAAGAAATCAAATAAATATAATAATAAACTGAAAATTAATCATGAATTTTGAAGTAACTTATTGTATAATATTTTAAAAATTATATAAGAGTACTTTTTTCGTAAAATCCACAATTAATATATTGAAATTATAACCTTATAATATAAAGTTATAACTAAGGTTAAAACTCAATCCAACGTCATATTATAAGGTTACAAGTACTAATTATTCTTATATATTAATATATGAAATGTTTAATTGAGCATTTACTTATAAAGTTATATAACTTTTAGAGTAATTATCTTTAATAAATGTCTTATGATGAATAAAATTAAAGTTTTTTAAAAATGTACAGTATTTATATTCATTTTAATTATACATATTCTTAATTTTTTTCATTGGTATTCTTCTTGACATAATTAATTCTGGCCCCAAATTCTTGTTGATTTAATACCGAGGAATCGGGATATTTGTTTCTGCTTGAACTTTTCACTACAACTGAAGGGCTCGAATTACTCAGTTTAACAACTTGATCGAAACTGTTTCTAACTGAAGCCGTTTGTGATTCAGATTTTTCACAGTATGAACATTTATATGGCACTTGATAAGCTGATGGAAAGACTGGTTCTAATTTTGATGCTACTGTGGAGCTTTGTGAATCACCACATGATGGATAGAAGACCACTGGAATATACCCAATTACAGCACCAGGTGGTAAATTATCTAAGCTGAATGCTGATGGTTGTTGCTGTTGTAGATCATTGGTAGAGTTATTATTTGGTGGTACAAAATAACATGGACAAGAACCAGGATTTGGCACGATTGGGACGGGATATGGTATAATGTCAACATTTGTGGATGATTCGGGAGCCAATGTACTGAATACTTCTTCAAATGTTTGTGTTGTTGCAGGTTCCTCTTGATAGTTATTTTCTATTGGAGTTGGTCTTGTAGAAACAGCTGGTTTACGAGATGATTGAACAACTACATTTGATTCTTGGCCAGATTGGTTTCCTTGAGTTACGATCGATTTTGTAGATGTGGAGGAATATTGTGGCCTTGGAGTTGATTTAATGTAGTGGACATTATTATTTGAGGGTAAATTTGGTAATACTACACGTACATCAATATTTGGAATATCTGTATTAGTATAAACTGATTGTTGGTTAGATACACTTGGATAGCCAGACGATTGAGTCGAAGAGATTATAGTTTGCTCAGTTGTTACTTGAGGTTGATTTGGTTTTACATTTAATTCGTTATTACCATAATTGTATCCACTACTAGGATTTTGCTCATTTGGATATAAGACATAATCTGGTTGTTGACTTGGATACACTTCTACAAACTCAGGAAAACCTGATGGTTGACCTAATTGAGAATAATTTGGAATTAGTTCAGAAGCTGGTTGTGGATAACCAGACACAAAATATTCTGGATACTCTGGTTGTTGTGATCCATAATCAGGTTTTACTGGATATGGTGATGGACTTGGAGAAATGGGATAGCCTAAAAAATAAAAATCATTAAAATTACAATTGTAGGAGTTTATAATTACATTAAAAATTATTTTAGTATTACCTGGTGGTTTTTGTGATTGAACTGTACTTGGATAACTTATTAATCCTGGCTGTCCTGGAGCGCCTGGTATTCCAGGAGTACCTGGTGTGCCTGGTTTACCTGGAAGACCTATTTATAGAAAAATTATAATTATATTAGGGCTGCGTAATTTTTCTAATTAATCGAGATAACAACAGATTTAATCAATTATTCGATTATACTGATCTTGTATATATTGATATTTTGTTTTTAACATGGTGAATTTTATTTAATTTAGAGGGGAAAATATTAATGTCTCAATTTTCTTTATAACTTTTTGTAAAAAAAATTTTATAAACTAAAATTAGTTTTTTTTTTTTAATTATAAGAGGCCTAAATTATTTAACAATTAAACTATTAATTAAAATATAAATAGCATGAAATGGTTTTAAACAAATTTAATTACTTATTTATAAATTTTTAACTATACCATTTCAAAATTCAACATGTTATGAAATGTTATAGTAATATATAGCCCCTTTTTAAAATAAAATAATAAATAGAGTTGTGAAATAATACAAAATAGATCATCGAGTAGAATTTTAATTTTTTTTTAAGTAGTAAGTAATTAATTACTTGTAAAAAAATGTAAATTTTACTAGTAAAAAAATGATCAATTATTGATAAATTATTCATTACCTGGAGATCCTGGATATCCACTAGGTTTTCCATAATCTACTGCGTTTTGTCCTGGTAACCCAGGAAGTCCTGATTCTCCTAAGATTAATAAGTTTTATTATTAAAATATATCACTTAAAATAAAAAATTCAAAAATATTTTTGAATTTTTGCTGACAATATGGTGTTAATAGGAGAAAATAGGGAGGAAATTAATCAAAGGCTAGAGATGTGGAGATCAGCTCTTGAAAAAAAGGGTTTAAGAATAAGTAGGAGTAAAACAGAGTATATAGTGTACGAGTTTGTAAAGGAGAACACGAGGTAGGTGAAATAAGGAGACCAGTGACAATAGGCGAGGACGTGATTGGAGAGGTGGAAAGTCTTAAGTATTTAGGATCATTTGTGCAAAAGAGTGGTGATATTAACGAGGATGTAAGACACAGGATCAAATGCGGGTGGTTGAAGTGAAGAGAAGCGTCTGGTGTCTTATACGATAAAAGAATTCCAATGAGGCTGAAAGTTAAATTCTACAAGACTGTAGTGAGACCAGCTATGATGTATGGTTCAGAGTGTTAGGCGGTTAATAAGAAAGTAGAGCAGAGATGAGAATGCTTAGATGGACGAATGAAGTGACTAGAAGAGATAAGGTAAGAAATGAGCATATTAGAGGGAGTATTGGTGTAGCGTCAATCGTGGATAAGATGAGATAAAATAGATTTAGATGGTTTGGTCATGTTATGAGAAGAGAAGAATCGGAAGCCGTAAGTATAGTTGTAGAAATGAATGTTAAGAAAAAAGAAGTAAAGGAAGATCAAAAAAGAGATGGAGAGATGTTATTGAATGCGATATGAGGACATCTGATGTGAGCGTAGAGGATGTGGCAGATCGTGTCAAGTGGAAATTTAGGATAAGGGTGGCCGACCCCTAAGTAGTTGGGATTAAGGCGAGGAAGAAGAAGAAGAAAAATCAAACTTTGTTATTTGTTTAATATTTTGTTGTTAAATTTGAAAATATTAATTTTAAATAATGTTTTTAATTACCGGGTGATCCTGGATAACCAACTGGCTTTGACGGTTTAGGATGAGTTGGTGCCACTGGAAGGCCTGGTGCACCTGGCGCACCTGGTATTCCTGGGGTTCCTGGTTTACCAGGAAGACCTACAATAAATTGCAAAAACTTATAACTTCATGTAATATAATGTCACTGACAAATTTATAACACCATTAATCTTAGAAATAAATAAAAGACTCAGTTATGNACCATTAATCTTAGAAATAAACAAAAGACTCAGTTATGTAATAATTATTTTAGTTTATATTTCAACATAATAATTATATACCTGAGTTTCCAGGATATGCAGGGGAAACTGGAGGTTTGGGGTATGATGGATTTATTGGTTTAGGTGGCAGATTTGGCTTTTGATTGGTTGGTTGAGCTGGATAACCTTGTGATCCTGGAGTACCAGGTTGACCTGGAGCTCCTGGAAGACCAGGTGCACCTGGTTGACCTAAATATTCAATAATAATAAAAACATTAAAAACATTTAATTAACATTAAAAACATTATTGTGTCTAAATATAATTGAAAAAAATCCTCTAATTTTATAAAATACAAAAAAATATTAAAATAATATACGTAATATTTGTTTTTAAATCTTATTTAAACTTATTTACCTGGACTTATTGGGTAAGCTGGGTATATTGGTTGTGGGGGAAATGGTGGATAGAATGGTTCAGGTTCGACAGGGTAGACTGGTAATCCTGGAGCACTTGGTGCGCTGGGTTGACCTAAAATGATTTCAAGTTATTATTTGGAAATATTTAAAAGTGGTCAAAACATGTAGACTGAAACATATCTAACTGACAAATTCTATAATTTTTGATAAAATTAATATTCATTGTAATTTTAGGTTCGATGAGAAGCTGAGAAGGTGTTAGTATTACTAAGATGTGCTTTTTTTTAGGTCTGTTGCCATTTTTTCTCAGTTCTCACCGAACGGATTTTTCTCAACGATATGTCAAAAGATCACAAATCGTATCTAGTCGAAGACGTTACCCTCAAAAATTGAAAAGATTTCCCTCGATCTCCGTAAATGATTTTTAAATAAATAAAATAACTTTTTCAACTTAACTTTTGAAAGTATTCCGGAAATACTGACACTTTTATATATTTTAAATTAAAGCTAATGTAATATACTTTATTATGGGAAAAAAAAATTTCGGACTTTATTTTGTCTTCACGATGAAAATGGCTACCAAATGCTATTTTTGTGTGAAAATTCTCGATTTAATTTTTTAACTTATTAACTTTATAACTTTTTTAACTTTATTTAAATTATAACTTATTGAAAAGTGTCATTTAAATATAATATTTTTTAATAATCCTTTTTCTACATACTTTATCTTAATCAGGATATTAATAAGGAACTAGCAGATCATGTAGCTTTTGGAATAATCCACCAATTTTTAAAAATTAACACTATCTAAAAATTTGCATCGAAGCGTCTTTTTTTATAGTGATTTTAATCATTGTCGGATATCACTGTACTTGATCCAACTATGCTACGTCACCACTGTGCTGCGACCCCCCTGTGCTGGGTTTTATTTTTAAATAATTTATTCATACTTAAAATATGTTAAAATCATATTTTTTATAATTTGTTTTTTTTATATATAATAATATTGAATAAGAAACTTTCAAAATTTAAAAATAACCAGTTTTTACCATATTTGATACACAAATGAATAATCAGTCTTCAACAATTTTAGGACAAATACTATTTGAGTTACAAGCATTTTTATACATTAAGTGGCTGGTATTTAGGTTTAGTAGAGTACGCGATATAAATATAAACCACTACGAGTTTTACTCACCCGTGCTACATACCTGTTCTATGTATTAAAATGCTTGTTTCTCAAAAATTACTTGTTCTAAAATTATTTTTGGCCCATTTTTTTGTTAAAAAAGAACTTCAAAATAACAAATTTTTCAAAATTTAAAAATTAATAAGAAAATACGTTTTAAATGTAGTTTATTAATACAAAAATTATTTTAAAAAATTATAGTGAAATGATTAACAAAAGTTATATGAGAATCAATTAGATACGTTTTACCTGTATTAATAATCATTAATAATTTTAAGTGAAAATATTAACCTGTACTTCCTGGATAAGTTGAATATGGTGGTTGTGATGGATAAGGTGGGTAAAATGGTTCTGTTCCATCTGGTAATTCTGGCAAACCTGGAGCACCAGGTTGACCTAAAATAATGAATTATCGTTTGATTTTCATAAATTTTGAATAATTAAAAGTACATGAATAATTATTTTTCTTGTGATGTAGATAAGATATAACTACCTAGATTTCCTGGATAAGCTGGATAAGACGGTTGTGATTGATGTGGAGGGTAAAATGGTTCAGGTCCAGCTGGTAGTCCAGGCAATCCTGGTGCACCTGGAGCTCCTGGAGTTCCAGGTTGTCCTAAAATATCATATAAAAAATAATTTTAGATTTTAAAATAGTTTTTTAAATGTCTTAATTTGCGTTTACCTGGTTTTCCTGGAAGACTTGGTGAAGAAGGCTGTGAAGGGTATGGAGGATAAAATGGTTCTGGTCCAGCTGGGAAACCTGATGCACCTGGAGATCCTGGAGCTCCTGGAGCACCTGGAATTCCTGGTTGACCTAAAATGAAAAATTTCATTAAATTATACAAATTTTATGAACCTAAACACGTTAAATATGAATAGATAAAAAAATTAATTACCTAAAGTTGGTTGAAGTGGATAAGATGGTTTTGATGGTAACTGTGGCGGTTGTGGATATGCTGGCTTTCCTGGTAAGCCGGGTGTTCCTGGTTGTCCTTAAAACGAAATTAACTCTTATAAATCAATAAATTTACACTTATACATAATTACATCTATTAATAACATATAATATTTCAGTTAAAATGATATGAAATTGTAAATCTTTGTTTGAATTATAGTAATTTAATATAATACAATCGTAAAACAAAACTATTATTAAATTATATAAGCCATAAATAATCAATTATAATTATATATATATCAATTTTTTCATGTTTTTATATTATTGTTCAATGAAACAATTAAAATAAATAAATTTATTTGAAAATTAAATCAAAATAAATTCACATAAATTAACTTTTAATATTAAGTACCAATTATTTATCTAAATTTCACTTATTTTCCATTATTTACCTGGTAATCCTGGAGACCCTGGTGATCCTAAAAAAATATATTATTAATTAGAATGATAAAATATTTATTTATTTTGTATATTTTATTATTATATTGTATTATTATGAAAAATTCATGAAAGATAAATTTAAATCATCTTTTAAAAGAAGATTAGAATTAGGAAATTAATAATTCAATAAATTGGTAAATTAAATTATAAATAGATATATCAGATTGTAAGGCAGCCAACAATTAGAGTTTTGCTATTATATAATGTTATGAGAGTAATGACTTGCTCAACTGTCATATTATTAATTGACAAAAGTATTGCATTAAAACTTTTGTTGATAGCAATCATTACTAAGCCACTTCCGTTTTAACAGAACTACACAACCAAATTTTATAAAAATTAGTAATATCATATTTAAAACTTTTTAATTTACTAGTTATAAAAAAAATTTTTAGAATTTAAACCACGTACATTATGTAAATAAAGATTGTAACATTTATTTGATGGCGAATACAATTTGAGTTTATTGAAATTACAGGTATACTGTTTTCAATTTAATAAATAAGTCAGATTTAAAATTAATTCTTGTCTTAACATCTATTTATCTAATCAAACAATTTTAATACTATCTTTGTTTCAAGTTTTTATCAGGGTAAACTTGTATAGAGCTCAATTCCACATTAGTTTGAAATTTTTGTATCTCTTTAGAACATCAGATTGTTCCCTTAAAATTACTTTAATAGATATAGATTTACAATTATATACAAAATGATTAATTTATTTTTAACCGCTAAATTTCTTCAAAAATAATAATAGCTAGAAAAATGTTTGGTTTTTTCAAATAGTATTATTTCTTGATTTTATAATGGTTAAGTACTTATTATGTCCATCACTTGTTCCTTACAAAGACACTAACTTAAATTTTTTTAAATAACAACAAAATGTACATATGTAACTAATCGTATAATAGAAAATTATTTAACTAAAGAAATAAATAGTTGTTATCAAGTCGATAACAACTTTTGAAACAGTAGTTCAGGACTTGTAAATATTATACCTGAGTAGGAGTAATGCGACAGAAAATTGCATAGTAATAAAAATAACTTAACCCAAACTTCATCTCCCGCCTAAATTAGAAAAAGGTAAGCACTTCCAAAATACTGACACAAAAGATGTTAATGACCAGTAATTTTTTAATCAGACCATTTTCTTTTGGATAAACCCGTTAAATATATACTTTATTTTCTTTATAAATAAAGTTGGTATCGTTATAAGGGAAAGATCGAAGAAATATTTAAGCACTTTAAGTCGTAGAATAAAAAATATCAAATAAAAAAAATTATTATTATTTTAGGAGAAATTTAGTCGTTCACAATAAATCAATCATCATGTATCCCCAAGCGTTGAACTTTAAAAGAAATAATATTTAATCTAATAGATGAAAAACAGAACTAATATAACAACTGAAATCATTGATATTAGAATTAAGACAAACATTAAAAATAAGTAAATTACGTTATTAAGAATAGCAATTAAGTTGTTCACAAATAAAATGAATTATGAATAGCAAATTAATGAAGACATTTATTTTTGCTCTTCAACTTCAACTAACATATATTCTTTACAATGAGTCTAGATTTCTTAGAGTTATTTTCTTCAGTTAGATCAGTAAATTGTATAACAAAAGTATCAAACTTAAATCAACAGAATTTTTTTAAATCCTCTATAATTTCAATTGATTTATCAATGCTTGATTTCAATCTCAATTAGAACAAATCCGCAATTTAATTTTTTTCGATAAATTTAAATTGTCACAATTAAATAATAACGTGCATTTTTAATGGAATAAGAACTTAATACATAAAAAACTAATATTATTTGTAAAATATTTTATTTTAGTTTGTAAATTAAATATTTAGAAATCTATTATACTAGGTTTCGTATAAAATCTTAATATAATGAAATCATTTTACCTGGAATTCCTGGATAAGAAGAAGTAGGATATTGACTAGAGGGTTTTACTGATGAGTAATTAGGTTTCTGATATGATGACCCTGGTAATCCTGGTGTACCTGGTTTGCCTAAAAATAAAATATGTAAAAATTATAATAATAAAAAAAAAAATTCGGTTATAGCATTAAAAAAAAAATAAAGCTTATTATTTTCACTATACTTGATAATGTATATTATATATTAAGAATATTCAGACTATTTACCTGGTAAACCTGGAGATCCTGGTTGACCTAAAAATATAAATATAGAGTATTTATTATCCAAGTGTATTTTCTTTAATATCAATTTTATAATTAAATTTAAAAAGTCTTTTGAAATTCTATGTATATAATTAATTAGTATTATATACAATATTGAATATAATATCATATTATTAAAAATGTAATAATTATGTTTTTTTATCGTTTTTTCTAAATTTAATTCAATAAATTTCAATTTTCCAGAAATCTAAGTCAATGGAAATGCATTTAAAAGTGAATATGTAAATCAATATTTTCGAAATGGAAAAATTACAAGTACTTTAAAAATATTTATTTACATTAACTATTCTAATTCACTTCAGCAACCTTTTTCTTTTCTAAAAAACTATTAGATTAATAAATCAACTTCAAGAAAATAACAAAAAAATATAAAAATTGTTAAATTTAAATAATGATTTAACATGTTTTATCGAAAAAAAATTGTATAGCTTTTGATTATGTTCAAATTTCTACAAAAAATAGTGGTATATAAAACCAGTAGTTTATTATCTTAATTTATCTTATTTACCGGGTGCTACAGGATAATATGAAGGTGGACTAGGTTGCGGGTATGAAGGTCTTCCCGGTAATCCTGGTGAGCCTGGTAAACCTGGAGATCCTGGTTGGCCTGGAAAAATTATAAACAGTAATAGTATTAAAGTTATATTAATTGGGCAAATTCATTATTTATCATTATCAAATAACCGTTATATTTATTACCTGGACTTCCTGGGTATGCTGGACTAGGTTTGGGATAAACAGGTTGTGGTTGAACGTAAGAAGGTGATCCTGGAAGACCTGGTGCTCCTATTTATTAAAACATAACGTTTAATTATACTTAACATTTTTATGAATATTAATTACTAGACAGAAGTGTTTGATATTACGTGTACCTCGTCTATATCTCTAACTGAAATAACCAATATTTTTGTTCATAACTTATAATTAAGTAAAAAAAAATATGATAATTTAAAATCCAAAATGCATTGAATCCCAAAATATTAATAATTGAGTTTAACCAAAAAAAAAAATTTCTTTGAGTTTAACTCAATAGTTTTTAAACATGCTAATAACAACAGTTATAAGAATTCATAAATTGTTAAGTTATACCGAAAACATATAATTTGGTATTATAAAACTATATCAATGTTGAACTTTACTTGACACCCAAACAATTGTAAAATGCAAACGTTGATTAGATAAAAAAAAATGTAAGAACCAAGTTGTTTGTAATTTTTTACTATCACATTATAAAGTTAAAAATAGGGATACCCATTTTAAATAATTATACATAAGGATTATTATCTCTGAAGGGACCAAAAAAGAGATTTAACTATCTATTGTTGTAGTTTTTTTGAACTTAATATTTTTTCTTTCTGCGAAAGTTTTAAACTCTCAATTTTAAAAAAATTTGGTTGAAATTGAGTAACGTTAATACGTTCCGCAAGAGGATTAAAAATTTTTCTGCAAGGGTGTTTTTCAATTTTTGTCACTTATCTTAGAAACTATGATACTTATAGAAAATATTATAAAATTTAATTTATAGAACTAAATATTTTCCGTAAAAAGTTTTATAAGAAAAAAACCCGTATCTATAATACTTAGGCATAAAAAAAAGCTACATATTTTTATGTTGAAATTGATTTTATTAATTTATTTAAATATTGAAGACGAACTATTCTGACATATAGAAGAACGTTTCATTTAAAAGTTGTTTAAAATTGAATTTTTTATAATTTTTTTTTTTTTACAAACTTAATTCAAATAATCGAGTATTAATGCGCAAAAGTTTTTTTTTTTTAATTTACAAATAAATTGATTCAATTTTAATTAAACTAAAAATAGTTTTACGTTAATAAAAATAAAAACCTAATTTTTAACAATTACCCCATTCAAAATTATTTTAAAGATATTATTAATAATAATTCTAGAGGGTTTTTGAATTAATTTCAAAACTTTATTTTTCAGAACCTACTGTACTTAAAATTATACATAATTAAATATTTAAATACCTGGTAATCCTGGCGATCCAGGTTGACCTGAAAAACGTTCATATTATTAACAGCAAACTAGCAAGTAAAATTTTAATTTAATTTAATTAATTAATATATTTAATTATTAATTAATTATTATTATTATATATTATTTAATTTAATTTTTAAATATTTTCGATATGAGAAGTTTCAAAAGTACTCAATATAAAAGAGAATAATAATAATTTAAAATCATTTAAAGTTTTTGTCTCAATTTTTTACGGTTACTTAAATATATTATTATAAAAAAAAAAATATTCCTCTAATTTAGTTTACTTTTATATGAATCGTATAGTTAAACTTTGTTTTCTTTAATTATGAATAATAAACTAAGAATAATTAATCTTATACAAAAAATTAATGGAAAAATATTTCCATTCGATTAAACTTTAAGTCGTTGAAACGAAATTCCGAAATAAAGTACCAAATTAGTTAAGATTTTCAACATTAGCAACTCAGTTAAAGCACTCCAATAATTAATTACGTTATAAAATAATAGTATTATAATTTTTATTTTAATTTCAATTAACTTGTTAGTCTATGGATTTCAAAAAGTGAATTAAAACGAAGAAAAAATAAAACAACATATTACCTGGATATCCTGGGTAAGTGGGTGGTTTTGGATATGGCGAAACGCCTTCAACTCCTGGGGTTCCTGGTTTACCTAATGTAAAAAAAAAAATATTATTTTACTAAAATTGATACAAAGAGTACAAAAAAAAAACAGTAGTTATACATTTATTTCGATTCTGATAATATGGTTTGATTCGATATGTATTTTTTCTTTTTTGTTAATCATTAAGAAAATTAATATTTTCTTCATTACTTTTATTGTTAAAGATTAAATTCTTTATATTTATAGTTTATTTAAAAAACAAAAATGCTTAAATATATTTATATATCATTAATAAAAATCAATTAATGAAGCATATAACTATTACTTTTATGGGCGTTCATAGTTTCCGCCAAACCGATAGTTTATACCTGTCTACAAATAGAAACTTGAGAACAACTGGTTAAAATATTGGCAAAAATAACTTTATAATTATAATAATTATCTACTTTTCATTTAACGTTAGCTAGACAGCAGTGTATTGGAAATCGGTATATCGATAAATATTTTAGCATCCGTTCATTTTTATTTTACTTTTTTAACTAAAATGTCATTTAAAAATATCAGAAGTAAGTGTGGCCAACAAATTATTTTATTGAATAATTTTAAGTTTTGTTTTGAATATAAAACAATTCAAACGAGTATCATACGTTGGCGTTGTTTTGTAAAATAATACAAAGGTATCATTAACGTGAATGAGCTTGATAAAATTATGGATCAAACGGGTATTTTTTAAATTTTAGTAAAATTTATAAAAGTTGAACCTTTTTAAAATTAGTTTATAACTAAAGAAATTATTTTGAATCGTTTCATTCATATTTTAATGAACAATTTAATGAGATGCATTCTTTTGTTAATATATTTTTAAAAATTTTAATAGTAAATATTCAGTTTTATAATTACATTAAAATATACAGTAATGATAATGTAATATCAACAAGCGTACAGAATAAAATTGAAAACCGTTAAAAAAAAACAATAGAGACGATTGATAAATTTAATAAAAATGAAATTAGCCGATTTAAATTTGTGATATTAGTTTCCAACAACTATAAAAAAATTTATTATTCATAGATCTATTTTTTATTACATTATTACACGTATTCGATATTTTTTAAGCTTAATATTAATATTTGAATTTTGTTTCAATGTTTTGATGACTATTTATTTTTTTATAAACTATATTTTTATTATTTAATACAAATATATATACATACAATACAGTTATCTATTATAATTTATTTATTTTTGGTAAAACGTCATATTTTGTTTATAAAGGTGTACTTATGTGATAAAATAAGTAATTATTCTAAACGACGTGTCCGTATTTAGGGGGTGGTTAAGAGGGACAAAAAGTCTTGAGGACGAATGTCATTTGATGGCGTTAGGTAAAAAATATTGAAAAAATTACTTTTTTTTTTGCTCATTAATATTAATACCCCTGCAAAATCTTAAGTACAGACCTGAACGTAACACTGAAATTTTTTAACAAATAAATGCCGAAAATTTAGATACGGGCAGATATCTACCCTGTCCGTACGCTAAAATCGCTACTGGTCGCAGTGACCTATGGATAAAGCTAACTAAATGGTTCTCAAACTTTTTAGTAGATAGACAGAAGATCAGTTTGGTGGAAATGATATTGTAAATTTTAGTGGAAATGATAATCTCCTGCTTTTATAGAATAGACTTAACAAATAATATTATATGTATTTTTCGGGTATAATTTAAAAAAAAAAAAATTTGTGATGTGCAAGTTTTATTACCTGGTAAACCTGGAGATCCTGGAGAACCTGGAAATCCTGGTGAACCTGGATATCCTAGAAAAAAATTAATACTTCAATATTAATATAATATACCTATTTGTAAAATTTAGATAAATCAGTTTCATACAAAATTAACGAACCTGGATAAGTTGGCGGTTTAGGATATGATGATCCTGGAGACCCTGGTGTTCCTAATTGTAAAAAATATAAATTAAAAAATATCTATTGTAATTTTTACTTTTAAAAATAAATTCGAAGAAAATTATTATTTTAAGTAAAAGTTATCGTCAAATTAAAAATTTTACCTGGTAGTCCTGGAGTTCCTGGAGAACCTAAAAAGAAACCATAAATTTATTTATTAAGAGTAAAATATACCAGAATTAATAATTTTATAAATATATGAAAATGTTTTAAATTCACAAATTTAATCAAATCAATGAAATTATTACCGGGGCTGCCAGGAAATCCTTCAATAGGATATGGAGATGGTTTTGGATAAGGTAGTAAACCAGATTGTCCTGGTGTTCCTATTAAAATAGTAAAATTAACTCTCCTATTTAATTATGATGTAAGAAATTTAAATCAATTTTTTTTATTAATTAACAAATATAATTTATTATCTAAATTCATATTATTAAATTAAAAATAAACATCATAGTTCTTTTTTTAATAAATTCTAATTGATTATAAATATTACCTGGTAGACCTGGCGCACCTGGCAGTCCAGGTGATCCTACAACAACAAAAAATTTTATGTAAGATTTATAGAAACATACTTTGTCAATAAATTCAATTATTACCTGGACTTCCTGGGTAAGGGGACCCTGGATATGTGGATGGTTTATTATAAGATGAACCGGGCAATCCGGGTGCTCCTAAAAAATTAATAAATAACTTAGACCAAGTTAATTATTAAATTTTATTTCACTTTTTTTTTAATAAATAATAAATAAATATTTTTAATAGACTATTTTTGGTTGTATTTATTTTTTACACTTAATCATTGACATAACTAGGTGGAGACTTAGAAAGCTTAGCTTTCTTAAGCTTAAAATTAGCCCCTCTTGTCGTCATGGTTTTTAGACCTTGGTATATTTTATAAATGGCTACTTATTATTTTATTATAGTTATTTTATATTATTTTTAAAATATGTTTGATTAGTAATTTGAATACTGCATCCTATAAGTAAATGCAAGCACCTCATTTGCAAAAAAAGCATATAACGTCCTTTGTTTATTCAATATTGCATACCTAGGACATTAAATAGGGCTCAAAAAATGGTAGGACTTTAGTTACCGTAGACTAAAATTTTTAGTTATGCTCATGAATTTAATAGATAAGTATTATTAATACCTGGTAATCCTGGGACTCCTGGAGTTCCTGGTGATCCTAAATCATATAATTCGTTGTAATAAAAATAATACATTTTATTTTAATAATAACATTTACCTAAATTCTCTGGATATGATGGTGGTTTTGGGTATGGTGAGACGCCTGGTAATCCTGGCTTTCCTAAAGTATAATAAATATAGTACAACTATTATCAAAACCAATAATTAAAATAATTATTCATAGAGGTATTTGAGTGAGTAGTCCCCGGGTCAATCTCTCTCCGGGATCTAAAGCTAAACTAAAAACATGCCTGCGCACTAAACTAAAGTTAATTCCCCTCCCCGACATTTTTTTCAAAATACAATACAATTTTATTCATATTATTTACCAATATTTAAAATTAAACTTTGGTAAGATGAGTAAAAAATGGAAAGTATCAAATTGAAAAAAATAACTTCAAATATTTAAATTTGTTATTTCTATATAATAATTAAGTATCAAATAACATGAAATATCAAGATGTTAACGCAATCGAAAAAAAATTATATCATCTCTAATATTGTTGTGATTGATAACCACTGTTTAAATAAAACATTATTTCTATATAAATCTAGTGTAAACATGAAAAAATATAATACCTGGTAGTCCAGGAGAACCCGGAGATCCTGGGAGTCCTGGGGTACCTAAAATTTATTATTTATTAGTATTAGCCGAAATAATAAATTGAAAAATGTTATTTATCACTATGAGTAATATTATAATATTATAATCTTATATGTACTATAAAAAAAAACTAAAAAAACCGTTTATATAATTTGTTTAGTAAATTTTAGTAAAGATATTTGTGAAATATTATCTACACGTAAATAATATAATCTACAAAATATGACTTAAACAATAAGACGATTTTTAATTTATTTTATCTATAGCTTTGTAATAATTTATATTATTGAAATAATATATTATTATTACCTGAGTTACCTGGATACTCGACAGGATAAGGTGATCCAAAAGATCCTGGTTGACCTAAAAACAATTTTAAGTGTAAACAAAAATTCAGTAAAATTATATTTGCTATAACATATTGTTCAAAGTTCTCTATTATTAAGCTAAATTTTTAATGATGAAATTCAATTTTATGTTAGAAATTGATACTTTTTTAATTTTATAAGGTATATGAAAATCAAAGTCTTAAAATGTCAAAATTTGTTTATTTTATAATTACTTATTTTTGGTTTTCACCGTCTTAAAATATTTAATTTTACCTGGTTTCCCTGGCGTTCCTGGTGTACCTGGAGATCCTGGTGATCCTGGGTATCCATATGAATCCGGATATTGTGATCCGGGAGTACCTGGTAAACCTGGAGCTCCTAAACTCATTATAACATAATTTATTTTTATAAGCTGTTTAATGAACAATATTATTATAATGTAACAAACCTGGTAATCCAGGAGATCCTGGTGATCCTGGGTACCCAAACGATCCGGGATATTGTGATCCTGAAGTTCCTATTTAAAAATTATATTTTAACGATAAATTTTCTGAATCTTTTAAAAAGTTCATTTTTTTTTTTTGTGAAAAGTATAAAATATTCCTACCTGGTTTTCCTGGTAATCCTGGGGCACCTGGAGTACCGGGAGCTCCTGGATATCCTAATGATCCAGAAGAACCCGGTGATCCTAATGATCCTGGGTATTCAGATGATCCAGAGTCTTCAGGTGATTCTACGGGTTCCAACGGTTCTGGAAAACCTGATGAACCAGGAAGTCCCGGAGCACCAGGTGTTCCTGGAGATCCTGGTAATCCGGGTGATCCTGGAGATCCAGAAGAGCCTGGATATGGAGATCCTGGTGATCCAAAAGAGCCTGGATATGGTGATCCTGGAGATCCGGGTGAACCTGGTAATCCGGGTGATCCTGGAGATCCGGGAGAACCTGGTAATCCGGTTGATCCTGGAGATCCAAAAGAGCCTGGATATGGAGATCCTGGAGATCCGGGAGAACCTGGTAATCCGGGTGATCCTGGAGATCCAAAAGAGCCTGGATATGGAGATCCTGGAGATCCGGGTGAACCTGGTAGTCCTTATAAAATAAAATAATGTTTGCGTTGTATACAATATTTTAACGAATAAAGTATAATTTATTTTTGTCTATTTAAAGAAATTAGTAAAATAACATTATACATCTTAAAGTATTCATTATATTAAAAAATTGAGGTATAACTATCATTTTAATCTATAAATATAGAGTGATTCTTTTATCATTGAATATTTTAATTGAAAAATAAAAATAATATTAACAACCGATTTATTGGTATTTTATAGTTACATATTTCTCTTAATTTATCAGTCATGAAATATTTTTTATGTTCAACCCTTATACATTATAAAAATATCAACATCATTTTTTCAACTGATAATATACATAATTTATTTATTAAATAACGATTTTATTAAGAAAATGACTGGTTGATAATAACTTATGGATCAATATTTTAGACAATATTAACAATTTAAAATAAAAACTTGTTAAGATAGTGCTATTTTCATCACTAGATATCCCCCGCCACATTTCTACTTTAGGTTGGGCATAAAAATATTTATAACTTCTGAGATACTGCTCCGAAAGTTATTATTGACCAGTTTTTTTTTAATTCTATCCAAAAAATAAAATAATTAATTATGTATTTTATTATAGAAATTTAAAAAAATTATGTTATAAAAAAATTTGGAATAAATTATTAAAAAAAAAAAAAATACTATTAGAGCAAATGAATTTATAAAGCTCAATAAATAACTGATAATTTCTATACAAATATTGAAACATAGTTTAAGCTTATAACCTTAAACGATTTTCTATTATTAAACACAGTTTTTTCTATAATATGAAATTTATGAAACAATAATTTATAGTCTCAACAGTTAAATGAACTATATGCGTACAACTGGACTAAAGTTTATAAAATATAAGCATATATTAATTTACCTGGGGCACCAGGGTAGCCTGGTTGGCCTAAAGAACCAGGATAACCAAATGAACCTGGAGAGCCTGGAGATCCTGGTAATCCGGGTGATCCTGGAGAGCCTGGTTGGCCTAAAGAACCTGGATAACCAAATGAGCCTGGGAAACCTGGAGATCCTGGAGAACCGGGAGAGCCTGGTTTACCTGGTGTGCCTGGTTGGCCTAAAGAACCTGGATAACCAAATGAGCCTGGGAAACCTGGAGTTCCTGGAGTTCCTGGAGATCCTGGAGATCCTGGTTTACCTGGTTGGCCTGGTTGGCCTAAAGAACCTGGATAACCAAATGAGCCTGGGAAACCTGGAGTTCCTGGAGATCCTGGAGATCCTGG